AGAAAATACTTTAGTGCAAAAAGCACTGCCCAAGTTCCAAGATGTTTATGTAAGCCAGCCTTGGGTCCCAGGTGCCGTTCACTGTTCTGCCCAACATGGTTGCTCCCCACCCTGATAGGCATCCGTTGTTTTCACGGTTACCCTGGATGACACCGCCCCCAGTGGGACATCTGACGCGAGAGCTGTCACGTCCTCTCACGGGCGGAGCGCAGCCACGCACGACGGTGAAGCCTAGTTTATGCTTCTGTGTTTTCAGAGAGACTCAATGACACGCAGACTTAAGAGCCCCTTGCGTGGCTTTTCACCCCTCCTTGGGGGGGTGTAGAAGTGGTCATATTTACAGATTTCTTCCGTCAAAAGCTCTTCAATCTGATCCATTCTCTCGTAAAAATTCTTCGTTTTAATAATGGCTGTTATTGTGCTGTGAAACCGGAAATGTGAGGCTCTGTAAAGGATTTAGTTAGCAGACAAATCGCAGCCTTGCGGGCTGGAGGAGGGTTGCGTAGCTTTTGACGGAAGTCCAGAAAAATGGGTCGACGCACGCAAGGAGGGGTGAAAAGCCACGCAAGGGGCTCTTGCGTCTGCATGTCCTTTCGTCTCTCTGAAAACGCAGAAGCATAAACTAGGCTTACCACTTTCCCTCTGTGGTGAGGTGACGGCGCGGGGCGGGCACAGGCTCAATGCCGCGAAAGCGACGCAAGCCTCTTGCAGCCCGCAAGGCCATGATTGGTCTGCTAACTACATGTTTTACGTCTTACATTACCGCACAATACCACCATTATTAAAACGAAGAATGTTTACGAGAGAATGGATCAGATTGAAAAACCTTTGTCGAAAAAAAAACGTAAATATGACAACTTGTACAACCAGTCATTGGCTGACTATAAGGACGCACGGATTCATGGAGGGAGATCAAAGTTGTGGAGAAAATACGGGACAAATATGTCCGCGATGAAAAGCAACAGTGGTGATGCACGCAATTAGGTCTCTGATAAATAAATGAACAAACCAACGACTTCCTCACACAAAGACGTGACTCTCTAGGTCGTCTTCGACAAAAAACGTTACTCCACCTGTTGTTCTGGCGGGGAACTGCACTGCAACACACGCAAGCCTTCTAGAACAGAGGTCTTCAACGTTTTTCAAGCCAAGGTCCCCCAAACTGATTGCGAGGTGGAGCAGGGACCCCCTACGGAGTTTGGTCCGCCATCTTTTATTTTTGAGCTTCACGCTCTTTAGACATGAGCTTAAACGCGATCTGATTGTCTAATCAACCAAAAATTTCGCAACCCCCCCTGCAGTACCTTCGCGGACCCCCTGTTGAAGACCTCTGTTTTAGAACCATGAATTGAAACGAGTGCGTCGACACAACAGTGCGTAAAGACGCAGACGCTTGCGCCAGCCTGAACGACACCGCTGTCTGAACTCGTGATGTGCATATCGATACTGAAATATCGATACTTTTGATACTTCAGTAATTTGTGGTAATGTATATCATTAACAGGAATTTGGTGGAAAGTAACAACTATTCAGATCTTGTCTAAATGACACGCCGCTGGTAGAGACTACTTTTTCTTCCGCCTGGGTAAGTGCCTAATACGTAAACGCAGTGGCACGCTGACGCTGCTGCTCGCTCTCTCAGACAGAGAATGGCGGAACGGAAGAGAAGTCATGTGTGGAGCTACCAGGGATGTGCTCATTGAAGTACGTCGGTACTCAGAAGAAAAGGTGATTCCCAGACACAGGGATGCACTGATTTGGTGGAAAGAACGTGCTCAAACCTTCCCAGCCCTGAGCAAACTAGCAGTGAGATACCTGGGAATTACTGCCACTTCTGTACCAGGAGAGATAGTCTTTTCAAAGGCAGGAGAGGTTCTAAGCAAAAAACGGAACAGACTTAAGGGGAAGACAGTAAACATGCTGTTGTTCATTAACAAAAACTTGTGAATGATGGAAAGTGTCAATGTTGGGTGCTTTTGTGGAAGTGTTTTCCTGTTAGCATGTTCATGTAATGTGAATTAAGATGCAAACTTTCATTTTTATAGTGGTTCTCATTTTTGTTTATTATTCTGATAATTATTCTAATGGTTTTATTATTTTACTCATGATCTTTTTTTAGTGATGGAAACACCTTTTTCAAACACTTGTTTTTCCGTTGTTGTAATAGCTCGGCTATATTGTGAATGAGGCCGCTACCTTTTTAGTTCAAAGTTTAAAATAAATAACTAAATAAGTGACTATGTCTTGTATTCTTAAGCTATGTATTTAAAATACACTACTTTTTAGATCTACCATGCACATGGTATATACAAGTATCGGTATTGGATCGGTATCACCGATACCAGCCTGAATTTTACTCGGGATCGGAAAGGAAATCTGTGGTACAGTACGAGAAAATCCTAATGCCGCTGTTCCGTAACGGAGACAGAGCGGCTTCCACACACCTGCTTAACACCCTCGGGGCTAACGAGAGCCCGAATGGAATGCCTTGGTACGCGGCTCGTAAGTTTTGCCCTGCTAAGGAAACCTTCCGATGTGCTGGATAAAAGGCGATATGAAAATACGTTTCCAAACCAATCCCCCGGACGAATTGAACGACAGAGCACTTTGTGTGTTAACATCCTGAACGTGTTTGCGCAGGTGCCGGTTTGACACACGGAAATCTAAAATGGGGCGGAGGGATGCACCCCCGCTCGTGACACCTCTGATCGGCTGTTTGTTCAACAGCGATGTTATTTCGTCCTCTGGGACTCGCGCTGAATCGCCCCTGGCTACTGAAACTAACACACCGTTGAATCTCGGTGGTTTCATAGCGAATTATAGTCTGTACCCCTGAGAAATAAAACCCATGGATGGACTGCGCATGCACGCCACTGTTAGCACCGTGCGGTGACGTCACCTTCTCCTCCTCAAGGGAGCGGCCTCCCCTTGGTGGAGCGTGAGCTCCCCCAAGGGGATTATGGGGCCATGACAGGGTTTTGTTTTTATGTTTTGGGGGGAGCGTTTTGCTCTCGGCCTTTGGCCTGGCTGCGAGAATACAAACTTTATTTCTTTGTTCAATGAACTGGGTAGAAATGCTTGGTGACACTGTAATACCCGCCGCCCTCGATACTCCCTCTCTTGAACATGAGGAACTGGCAAAACGCCGGGGTTCAGTCTCCACTCCACTTCTGTCTTCCTTCTTTTCTTTGAAGGTGGAGGAGAAGGAGAAGCAAGGCCGGTTAGGTTGTGCGCTTCTTCTTACCTTCCCTGGGATGGGTGGTTCCTTGCTGCAGTGGCCACAAAGGAGTGTATGCCCCATGGCTTAGGGTTTTCCGCTCGGGGCTGCTGGTTAGTCTGCTGACTCGCTGCCTGTCTGTGCGGTCTGGCACTTTCCCCTTACCCCTCTCACAGCTGCGGCAGTGGCTGTAAAACCTGGCCTGGGCACCTGTGGTGTATGAGGGATGTGCTTTCGGGGCAAGCAGGGGTCAAAGGCTTCGCCTTCTTGTTTCCTGAGGGTGCTGGCCACCCAAGAGCAGGACCAAACATACCCTGGGCTGGGTCATGAGCTGCATCCATTACCTCTGCCTTCTGTGCATCACTGATGCCCGAGAGATTCAGCCACAGGGCCCTCTCACCTGAGACAGCAAGGCCCATTACACGTCCGCAGCCCTGTACTACGCCAAGTGAGGAGCGGAGGATGAGATCGTTAACTACACAAATCCCACAGGGCCAGGTTAGGTAACTTCTTAACTTCCTCCAGGATTTCCCCCTGGTACGCAAAGAGCAGAGTCATTGCGTGCAGCATAGCGATACATTCTCTGCAAAACGGAGGCGGTGAGGCGCTCTGTTTTATTAGGCAGGACGATGTTTGAGGAAGCTGAGAGAGCGGCGGCTTGGGTGGAATTGGTAAGTCACTGATGGCTCCACCTCTGGTGGTCCCCTTTGAGTTTTGAGTAGCCCTTGGTGGGGTGCTTACTTTTAAACGGGCTGGACCAGTACCTGCCCATTTCTTTCATGTAGATTGCCACTGCTGGCAGAAGTTGCTTTGACGACGGTTGGGCTGGTGGCAGTCATCTTCATCCTCGTCATCTTCCATGTCATCCATGTCAGAGGACAGAGTTCTCTGCCCTCTGCGTCCTCACCACCCGGCTCCAGTTAGAATAGCTCCTCGAAAAGTGGAGGCATTTCCGGGGACTCAGCATTCATCATGTCTGCTCAGCTCGAAGAGGCTCGCAGCAGATGGTGCTGGCTGAGGCTTTCAGGGCAGTTCCCAACAGGCACAGGTCGTTCTTCGTGAATACGGCCATTTTGAGCCTTCTTTCCCGGGTCTTCTCAGGCATTGACGCACAGTGCAGACAGGACTGGGGGTCCGCCAGCGCTGCCTGAGCGTGTCACATAGGATGAGGGTCTCTGCCGAGATGGACATGGGTGGGATGCAGCCTCTTTAGCCCTCAATACCGCCCCTTTGGCGGGGGTAGCGGTCGACATGGCAACTGAGAAGACAGCGAAATATATGAACAATTAGCTAAGCTTAGCGTTAACTTAAAATTGCTCCGGTATGTTGGTGGGGGGTTTAGCCCGCTAACCGCGTACCGTAAGAGTTTGCTCGCCGTGACGTTAGCAAAACTCAGGGTACTTGGCTTGTACACCCACCCCCTGAAGTTGTGAACCTAGAGGAAACACTGGATTTACAACCGGAACAATAATTAAATAATATACGTTTGTTTTTTTAATTCAATGTTTTCTCTGGTTTTCCACACCAAATTTCCAAATGAATGGGAAAGAAAAATTACTGTTTCATCAGCAGTGATTTAATCTTGAATGGATGGCCTTTGACTAATTTCAGAATAATTCAAAAAGATCCTATATCAAATAGAATCACATGCATATAAAACAATTACATATGCAATATAATGAAGAAGCAGTGAAAAGGCAGCATTATATCTACATTTGCAGGTCTGCAACAGCAGGTGGTGCTGCGAACAGAGAGTGCATTGCCACGCCCAGGAAGGAAGTGGGTTTGTTTGTGAAAGTTTGTCGAAATGCACTAATTCACTCGGACTTTCAGCAGTCAGCCAGTCTAGTTTGAGGAATTGGGACTTAACAATGTCTACCTTTATGCTGGTTGTGGGTGCTGTCATAGGAGTTGCTTACATTTACCGTCATGTGGTGGTTAAGGGAAAGCGGTGCACAAGTGAAGCAAAGCTGCATGGGAAAACTGTGATTGTGACCGGTGAGTAAAGGCTCTTTTTTATAGGCTGCTGGGTGTCTTCAAGCTGGCAGTAGTCACATTCACTGGCTTTTTTAAATGGCCAATATATTGGATGTGTGCACAGTCTGCAACAAGTGATATATTAAGAAACAGCACATTTTAAAGCTGGATATAAGTGATACTTTTTCACACCCCTCTCAGTTGATGCCCCGCTCCCTATGGCAGAATGTGAGAAAACACAAAAAAAGTGTTTAAAGTGAAAAAAGGATTTGAAACATGAAAACATAAGATTCAAATCTGAAAATACAAAATCTGTAACCAAAAAACTATAATACAGCAAATATCCAAAACATATATAAGTAAAGGCTGAAAAAATCTTATTCTAATTTGTTTTATTTAAATTTTATTAAGAACTGAGTTATATTATATTCAACTGAAATACTTTTTGACCACTTATTTTTATTTTGAAAACGTATGTTCAAGACCAAAAGTTCTCAAATGATCAAAACTTTTGGCCTGGATTTGGCTCCAAATGGATTCATCATTAAGAGTCACTTTAGCTACACATAGTAATTTGGTTCATTATAAAACATTGGTTGATTGGTGCAGCCCTAAGGAATTTTTCAGTTGAAGCATTACCCCCTTAATCCTTACACCAGGATTAGCTGTATTCCATTAACAAGCGCAATATTTGAAAGAAGCAACATTTGTATGTTGGACATCTAATTTGGATCTGTTTGTGTCACTTTTTATGTCCAGGCAGCAACACAGGCATTGGTAAAACTACAGCCATAGATCTGGCCAAAAGAGGAGCGAGAGTGATTCTGGCCTGTCGCAGTAAGCTGAGAGGAGAAGCTGCCCTAGAGGAAGTCAAGAACGTGAGTAGAAATCTTTTATACCCTGTTTTCTTTGTCCAAGAGAAGGCTCTCTGTCCAAAATGCTTTGTAGAGGTGTTTGTGGGCCCCTATCCTCATGTTGCAGCAATGCTTCCTAATATTTTTACAAACATTCCAATAAAAAATATTATGTAATACTTAGTACTCAGGTGATTCAATGACCTATTTTGGTGAATTAGCTGTGCACTCTCATTGGCCCAGCTGGGGCAGACCAACATCCTCTGGACGCTGTTATTTTCCTTGGGGATATTCACTTCTTACAGGTTTAGCCAAAATTACTTTCAATGCTGTCACACATTCCGGAACCTTGTTCTGGCCTTCACAATGACATTGTGCAAAAAAAAGTGTTCACTCACTCACAAATGCCCCCACAGGCACACAGACCGATCGCATGAGCGATGATAATGACCACTGCATTAAAAAAAAATACTGCTGGATTTCTCCCACAGAAGAGTGGCAGTAATCAAGTGGTGTTCATGCCTTTGGATCTGGGGAGTCTCCAGTCTGTTCGAAGCTTTGCTGAAACCTTCCTGAAGTCTGAACCCAGACTGGACATCCTCATCAACAATGCAGGTTAGATTGTTCATTGTAGCTTGAGGTCACAAACCTGCACCCCATAAGTAATGTTGTTTGGAGTTTTGTGTTCTTAGTTGTCATCCTTGATCATTTAACCTTTTATTTTTTAAGCTTTCAGAAAGTACTAATTGTATTTTACTTGCTGGGTAAAAATACTCAGCAGGAATAGTAGTTGTTATTATTATTGTACACATTTTTGACCTTTGTACGTCTTCTCACCTTTGTGATTGTCTCCCTTGCCCATAATTGAATCCTCTTGCGTCTAATCACCTGCACCTCTCGAGTGAATTTAAACCTTGTATGCCCTGTTTCTCAGTTTGTCTGCTATACTCCCTGCTTGACTGTGGTAAAGTTAAATTCACTCTGTTGCAGCTTGTCCCGCTATGCTGTGTTCTTCTGTTAGGCTACCTTTCCTGATTCATTAGGCTACTCTTTTAGGCTACCTTCACTGCCATGATCCTTTTTTTGTGGATATACTTTTTTTGAATTCTTTGCTCTTGTTGTGTTCAAAATAAAGAAACGGCAGATGGACAAAGGACATCGCAGATCGAAAGGTTAAAATCAAATGTATTTAATAAAAGAAAGGGTGTTGTGGTAAAAAAAACATCTCAGCTGAGGAGCCGCTAATCTTTGCAACTAACAGGCCCCAGGGCCGTCCTTTGACCATCCCTAGTGCCTGTCTGTTGCCTCCACCAGCGAAGTCTATAACAATGGTTGCCTACACGTATTTATACCGATCCGTAAAGGTGTGAAAGTTAGTGTCCACACCTCTGGGAGTGGTCTTCTGGTGAGTTCAATGTAACTCTGATTTCAAATGACCCTCAGTCAATATCCGTTGTTGTGCAAGTATTACATGCATGCATTCCAGTTGATTACATAACATTAAATGCAATCATAACTGTACATTGATGTTATTCGATTACAGTTTCAAAATTACATTGGTTTACAATATTGTCATTACACAGTTTCAGAATCATGGCTGTACTCTGGTGTATACTCAATGTATTTTATTAATTTATGAACCGGGTCGTCAGTTTATTTCTAATATCCTACTCTCCGTAAGTTTTATTTTGAACATGTTTGTATTTATTAAAGTCACCGCTATTCATCCCTAGATTCCACCTCCATCAAGCACAAACTACTCTGAAATGATTGGTTGGGCACAGTTACACTTGATATTTCAAGTTCAACTAACTCTTTAGGTAAACTGAGCTCAAACCCCAAATCCTGTTTTGCACTGGAAGGAACTATTTACTGGACTGGGAAGACGAGTTTCTTAATACCCGTGATTCCCACAATGCCTCTCAACCAGCTAGCCACCAACTCGTCACTTTACTGCAAATATTTTGACTCGCTTTCCGCCAACTGTTTTCCAGTCACCTGGCAATGAGCTGACCACTCAGCTTGCCCTAACTCCTTAATGGGCCTCCTGGTGATAGTTTCATATCACATCTGCCCCCCGATTCTAGCTGCCGCCTATGAGCCGCAGCAATCGCTAGTTCCGGACGTTGCCAAGCCACAGTAACTTAGTTCTGCACGCCCTGATGGTGGTCAAGCCGACCCTTGCTCCACCTGTCCGGTCGGCTGTTTAGCCCAATGCAGCTCACTGCAGTTTCTGTCCAGCGACACTCTGTTCCTAGTCCCGCTGACCCCCAGCTTTTGTTTAGGCTGCTGCCGGCCCCCAGAGTTTCTGGAGCCCCAACCCCCAGTTCCCTGAGTGCCAGTCTCCACAGCTCTGAACTTGACAGACGCAGTTCCCCAGTGTCCCGTTCTCCGGAGCCCCAGTTCCGAGAGCAACTCTTGCGGTCTGGTTGTCTTCCTGCCCCTCCCCCGCAGCACTTCTGCAGGTCTGGTGACTGGTCCTCCTCCAAAATGTCTCTCAATTGCATAACTACCTTGCCCCCAAGCAATGGGTCTTGGCTTCACCCCTTTCCGCACCCCCTTATTATGTTCCGGCCCGGCCACTTATAGTTGAAACGTTGAATCAATTTCCGTATATTTACACACACTGTTTTTTCAATCTTTTTACTCTTTTCAAAATAAATGAGTAACAGTGAAAATAAGATAATGCAAGTCTTTTCTTGTTCCTCCGAAAGTGTGTATATTCAAAGAATAATTTTAATATTCCACAGGTGTTAGATAGTTTCAAGCCTTGTCTACTTTGTTTTTACCATTGTCTGAAAACAGGATTAAGCTTTCTCCATGTTTTTTCTTCAGGTATTTTCCTGCAGGGTCGAACAGAGGACGGACTTGGGATGATGTTTGGCGTCAACCACATTGGTCACTTCCTATTAACCAACCTGTTGCTGGACCGGCTGAAAGAGTGTGGATCTAGTAGGGTGGTGAACGTGTCATCTATGGCACACAACTTTGGAAAAATTGATTTTGACTGCCTGAACACCCACAAAGCTCTGGGACTGGGGACCTCATTCATGCAGCAGCTGCAGGTCTACTCTGATAGCAAGCTGTGCAACATTCTCTTCACCCATGAGCTGGCCAAGAGACTGCAGGAAACCAAGGTCACCTGCTATTCCCTCCATCCGGGTCAGTAGAAAGAGTATATCACTATTCCAAAGCCATGGATTTAAGCTCTGTAAACAGGGAGTCTTCACTGGTACTTTATAAGAGGCCATAGAGTTAAGTACGTAGATTCTTACTTGCACGAACGACAGTGATTATCCAGCACATCCAACTTGACAATCCCTCTGATCCTGCAGGGGAGGGCAACGGGGGAAGGGGGTGCAGGTTAATAAGAGGGATATATTTAATTCATATTGGTTTCAAAGGGGATGCCCTCTACCTTTAAATGACATACTCATGGCAATTATTTTGAAAATGTTGGACTTGGGGCCTGTCTGAACAATACAAAAAGCAAAAATATACCGTTTATTTTCTTTTACAGGTGCAATCAACACTGAACTGACAAGAAACACCGACTCTCTAATCAAAATGCTCCTGAAGCCCCTGACTTTGTTTTTCTTCAAAAACACTGATCAGGGAGCCCAGACCACCCTGCACTGTGCTGTTCAGGAGGGGATCGAACTCTTCCATGGACGTTACTTCTCCAACTGCAGTGTGAAACAGGTCTATGCCAAAGCCAAGGATGACGCTGCAGCAAAGAAGCTGTGGGAGCTCAGTGAAAGACTGTCTGGTCTGGCATAAAATGCTTTCCTCAAAATCCCTTCGATTCGGTTGTTAATTATCTGTTAATATTAATTGTGTTAGATGGTGTAGTATTTCCTTGGCTGTAATTCCCCCGGTGGTGTTATTAGTAATCTTCCCATTTTTCCCGTAAAGAGGTGTGTTATCAAAGATACGGGGGTCAGAGATTATGTAACAGAAATGTTAAATTTGTAATAAATAAATAAATAATAATAAAGATTTTAATTAGATTCAATAATTATTAATAGATAAACATACCGACACAATATAACTAAAACATCATAAATAACATACAAGAGGACCTTTTTTTTCATAGAAAAAGAATTTCATTATTTCAATTGATGATAAATGAACACTAACTTATTTAAATAACTAGTATGGTAATAGTATGACAGGTTTCTGGTGTCTGGTTTAAAGTTGGCTCAGGTGTGTTCGAAAAGGGTGAACAGGTATTACACCAACCAGTATATACCAATGTAAGACAAATCAGTTTATTGAATCAGCCAAAACCACAGCCACTTCAGTTTAGTACTCATGAATGATGGTTGTTTCTTCAGAAATAATTATTGCCACTTTTAATGCCTAAGAAAACAAGTTTTCAAGAGCTTTAATGGATCATCAAATCAGCGCAGTTTGTTCTCAGTACTAGCCTTCATTGCATCTGCACTTTGGGAATTCAACAGCTTTGCTAACATAGTTCTGCTCACAAGTTAAACCAGCATTCATAGTATTCATATTTCAATTACCTTTGAGTATTTTCTGTTTTGATTGGGCCAATAAAAATTAACATAATTTGTAAAAAATACTTTTTTAGTATTTGAGTAATTTTCTATTTAAAATGCAAAATACTTCCTCCACAAATCTCAAAAAAGCTGACGGTGCCAGGTGGAGGCGTAATTGGCCTCAGCTGCAGTCAATGTCATGAATTGTGAGTCTTCTTGTACTTGAGCAGTAGTGGAGAGAATGGATCTGGACGACTGCTGCAACTTTGTTAAATAAAGATGTCCATTTGTTAGAAAAAACAATAAAGTATTCTTAGTTGTATGATTTCATACATTCTACAGTTGGCCAGGTGGAAAACATCCCGTCTCAGCAAGATGATGTTCAAGAAGGACCATTGACAAACACAGATGGAACCACGGATGGAAACAGCCCGTGTCTGTATCTTGGACGGGATTTAGGCTATTTACCTGTGTATAACTGGTTTTAATTTAATATCTTGTCTTTATAGTACACACAGGCCTAATGTGACATGCTATTCCTTTGTGATGATTTTTTTCTTGTTGATACAAAGCCAAAGTTTATGGGCTGTTAAGTCCCATTAATAAATAAATAAAAAATAACTAACTCATCTATAGCATATATATATATATATATATATATATATATATATAGCCAAATACCAAATTATAAGAAATCTGAAACATTTTAAATACAAAATACGTGTATTTTGTTACATTTTCGGGGTGCCAATATTTAGTTTTATTTTAATATTTTGTATAAAAATACTTTTGATGTATTTTTGCCCACAGTTTAGAGAGCTCGGATATACAGTTGTGGTCAAAAGTTTACATACACTTGTAAAGAACATAATGTCATGGCTCGCTTGAGTTTCCAGTTATTTCTACAACTCAGATTTTTCTCTGATAGTGATTGGAACAGATACTACTTAGTCACAAAAAACATTCATGAAGTTTGGTTCTTTTATGACTTTATTATGGGTTAACAGAAAGAGTGGCAAAATATGCTGGGTCACAAATATACATAGAGCAACATGAATTAGCAATTTTGGTGACTTAGAAAGTTGTGTCTTATATTCCTGTGAGTGATTATGAGTGACTACAGCTGGTGACTTCTCTGAGGACATTTAAATAGGGCTCATTGGATACAAATGCCCACAAATGCTACAATGGGAAAGTCAAAGGAGGTCAGCATGGAGCTGAAAAAGTGAATCATTGACTTGAACAAGTCAGGAAAGTCACTTGGAGCCATTGCATAGCAGCTGCAGGTCCCAAGAGCAACAGTGCAAACAATTGTTTGTAAGTATCAAGTGCATGGCACTGTTTTCTCACTGCCACGATCAGGAAGAAACACAAGCTATCACCTGCTGCTGAGAGAAAATTGGTCAGGAGGGTGAAGAGTCAACCGAGAACCACCAAAAAGCAGATCTGCTAAGAACTAGAAGCTGCTGGAACACAGGTGTCTGTGTCCACAGTCAAGCGTGTTTTGCATCTCCATGGACTGAGAGGCTGCCGTGCAAGAAGGAAGCCCTTGCTTCAAAAGTGGCACCGTAAGGCTCGACTGTAGTTTTCTGCTGATCACATGGACAAAGATAAGCCCTTCTGGAGGAAAGTTCTGTGGTCCGACAAATCAAAAATCGAGCTGTTTGGCCACAATGCCCAGCAATATGTTTGGAGGAGAAAAGGTGAGGCCCTTAACCCCAAGAACACCATGTCTACCGTCAAGCACGGTAGTGGTAGTATTATGCTGTTTTGCTGCCAATGGAACTGGTGCTTTACAGAGTAAATAGGATAATGAAGGAGGATTACCTACAAATTCTTTAAGACAACCTAAAATCAGCCCAAAGGTAGGATCTTGGGCGCAGTTGGGTGTTCCAACAGGACAATAACCCCCAAACGCACATCAAAAGTGGTAATAGGATGGCTAAATCAGGCTAGAATTAGTTTTAGAATGGCCTTCCCAAAGTCCTGACTTAAATCCCATTGAGAACATGTGGACAATGCTGAAGAAACAAGTCCAGGTCAGAAAGCCATCAAATTTAACTGAACTGCACCATTTCTGTCAGGAGTGGTCAAAGATTCAACGAGACTCTTGCGGATGGCTACCAAAAGCGCCTAATTGAAGTGAAAATGGCCAAGGGACATGTAACCAAATATATATTGTATATTTTTGACCCAGCAGATTTGATCACTTTTTCTGTTAACTCATAATAAAGTCCTAAAAATAACAACTTCATGAATGTATATTGTGACAAAAGTATCTGTTCCAATCACTCTCAGAGAAAAATCAGACTTGTAGAAATAACGGGAAACTCAGGAGAGCCATGACATGTTCTTTACAAGTGTACACTTGTAAAGAACATGTCATGGTCAAAATGTAAACTTTTGACCACAACTGTACTTAATGTTATTGTGCTACGTGCACAAAATTACGTAATTATGACTGTTTTATAAATGGTTGGTCACTTATAAAATGACTGACTATAGGCAATGGGACCATGCAAAGGAAAACTTGCTTTTAGATTTTATAAAAACAGGTCTTAAATATCTTGATAAAATATTGTCCAGCAACCAATACCTTACAAGTTATTTTGTCAAGAACGAGGGAGGTGAGGCAGGAAGTAGGGCTCAAGCAGTTTGACAAAAACAATACTTTTAATAAATCCAAAATGCTAGAGGGAAACTAACAAAGACATGGAAAAAACGCAGACGGGGAACAGGGACTTACATCACACAGGGACAAGGTTCAGGGTAGATGTTCCAGGCATAACATGAAGGGTTGAACGATAAATGACGCGACAAGGCACCAGACGCACATGGCACTGGTCAAGAACAAGAAACCAGTGCAATTTCATCAAATAAGCTAATTTACAACTTGCTATAGATAAGTCATAAGTACAATTTAAGTGCTTCAGTTTGTGTAGTGTTTGTGTAATTAATTGCATTATAATATGTAAACTCCTATAAAAAAGTGTTATTCATAAAATAAGTACACATCACCTTACTTTTTTGCACTTAGTTTTTTACGACTGGATAAATACTAAAATCAAAAGTATTACACAATTATCAAAACCTTCACTCAAGGAGCAAAACAACGGCTCAGATTTGCACCACTATAAGCACATGTCAACATCACACTTTTTGCGAAACAATACACGCAAGTGATTTGCAAAACACTAAACACACTTTTATGCTTTAGACACAGACGTATATCAAGATGTCACTTCCTTGCAATTCCAAAGAACTGCAAGTCAAATTACCACACTTTGTGGCAATTAGTTGAACACAGCCATCAGGTGCGCAAACACATGATTGCTTAATTGTAGACACAAAAATCAGGTTTGAGCACTATAAAAATGCAGCAGGTGAGTTCACCTATCTTCAACCAAAATGGAAGGAATCAGAGGGAGAAGAGCGAGGGTGAGAGGGGGAATCCGAGGAGGAGGAGTAGAAGCAGAAGGAGGAAGAGGCAGAGGCCGAGGTAGAGGTAGAGGAAGACCTGAAGCAGGAGAGGCTCAAAGAAGAGGACCAAATTTGTCAGATGAAATTCGTGCCATACTTGTTGACCATGTAGTCAACCATGGGTTGACGCTGAGGGAGGCTGGACTACGAGTTCAGCCGAATCTTAGCAGATTCACAGTGGCATCTGTCATTAGGATCTTTCGACGAGAAAACAGATAAAAAAATAATCTGTTTACAGCTGCTTATTGTATGCACCATATCAGCACTTTTGATACCCCTTCCTGTGACACTTTACAGTAGGTTACATGTATTTTGTTCTACATAGGATTGAGGCTCGAGCACAACAAGGAGGAAGGGTGCCATATTCAACCAACAGCAAGAAAGAGAGATCGTTAACATGGTTCTAGCCAATAATGTAATAAGGCTTAGAGAAATCCAAGCTAACATTATTGGCGACCATGACATTTTCCAAGATGTCAATCAGGTGTCTATTTCTACACTGGCACGCATCCTGACCAAAAATCAGGTTATGATAAAGCAGATTTATCGAGGGCCTTTTGAGGGCAACTCCGAGAGGGTCAAGCAGCTGCGGCATGAGTATGTGGAGGTATGTATTGTTCACTTTAGTACTCTAATGTTGCATACCTTTTTACATGTACTGTATACTAAATCTATGCTGAACTACACAATCTGGTCTTTCGCTGTATTTCAGAGAGTTTTACAGATGGATGCTGAGGCAATCCCTCAGGAATATATATATATATATATATTGATGAGGCAGGGTTTAACCTCACAGTTAAGAAGGAGAGGGAGAAACAACATTGGCCAGAGGGCTACGTGGGGGTAACATCACCCTTTGTGCTGCCATCACCCAGAATGGGGTCCACCGTCATGCCAATATGGGGCCATATAACACAGCTCACATTCTCACATTTTTGGACCGATTGCAAAACATCATCACTGCAGTTAACCAGATGCACCAGATGCAATTCACTGTCGTCTGGGACAATGTTTCATTCCACCGCTCTGCTCTGGTCCAGGACTGGTTTTAACACCATCAACAGTTTATACTTCTTTACCTCCCACCATACTCTCCATTTCTTAACCCTATCGAGGAGTTTTTCTCGGCATGGCGGTGGAAGGTGTACGATCTCCGGCTCCAGGCTCAGGTACCCCTCATTCAGGCCATGGAGGAGGCCTGTGACCAAATTGACGCTGTGGCAGTACAGGGATGGATTCGGCATTCCAGACGGTTCTTCCCACGCTGTCTTGCCAATGAGGATATTGCCTGTGATGTGGATGAAATTTTCTGGCCAGATCCAGCTAGGCGGAGAGATGATGCATAGTACAGTATTTTCGTTTTTTTTTTTTTGGTACTGGATATAATGTTATGTTCTATATATTATATATAATGTTATTATATTATATATAATGTTATCATCGAGTCCATCCTCTGCTCCTCCATCACCGTCTGGTACGCTGCAGCCACAGCCAAGGACAAGGGCAGGCTGCAGCGTGTCATCCGCTCTGCAGAGAGGGTGATCGGCTGCAATCTGCCGTCCCTGCAGGACTTGTTCGCTTCCAGGTCGCTGAAGCGTGCTAAAAAGATCGTGGCCGACCCCTCTCACCCCGGACAAAACCTGTTTGTGCCCCTTCCATCTGGCAGGAGGCTGAGGTCCATCAGGACTAAGACCTCCCGCCACACCAACAGTTTCTTCCCGTCGGCAGTCAGGCTCATCAACAGAGCCCGGTCCCCCACTGACTGACTATAACATCCCACCGGTCACTCCCCTTCACACTGCACACGTCACTTTAACTGTAATTCATCACTTTGTCGTCACT